GGGGTGATCTCTTGCTTTCTGTTTCTCCCTCCAGTGAGAGTAGGCGCCCTACAGCAAAAATCTCTTAAAAAAAGAAAAAAAGAATTGGCTGGAGAGAAAAATCCACGTCATTAGAACGCATTCTCACACTCTGATCCCCTCACTTGGAGGCAGTGTCCAGAGCGCTGCATTTTTTAAAAAGCAATCAGCCCAGCTGATGCAGAATATCATTCTTAAAAAAAAAAATTATTTATCTAATCTAATTTATTGTTATAATTATTATTCGCTTTGCATGTGCACTCACCAGAGAGAAATAGAGAGAGTGTGTGAGAAAGCAAGCTGCCAGATCCAGGACTTGAATGGTGGTCGGCCATGTGGGAGTCCGGCACCTTAACCAACACATCAACTGCTGGCCCCCAGAATGTCAGCCCTTTTTGGTTTTTTTTTCTGTCTTTCATATGATCTTATTTTCTCACTTCATGATAATATGATATCCAAATTTTGTCTTAACTGGTGGGTCTGTAGACACAGGCTTATCCATCGCACTGACAGGCAAGGCCAATGCTGCTTCTTGAAGTGGTCCCACCATGGACCCTCTGGTCACCCACCCCAAGCTCTTGCCTGGCTTCATCTTCACTATACTGTGTGGCCACTTCACTGAATCTCATTCCAGACTTGAGCTTCTCCATGGCTTCCATAATGTTGCCGTGTTTTCACGTAGAACGTATCTGACCATTACTGTATTGCCACCACCCTTGGGACCCTGAGCCTTCTTGTCAGCACTGTCACTCCCAGACGCCGCTCCCGCTTTACCCACTTTTCCAGAGCCACTTTTCCCTTTGGGTGGCATCTTCGAGACTTGCCGATGACCATTCAACCCCAGAATGTCATTTTCTTTAAAAATTATTTTATTTAACTTTATTATTTATTTTAATTTGACCAGAGAAAAAAAAAGAGGTAGGGAGGGAGGGGGAGAAAGAGTGAGGGAGGGCAAGAGAGAGAGAAAGTGAGAAAGCCAGCTGCCAGGTTCTGGACGAACCACAGTTCTGCCATGTGGGAGTCCAGCGCAGCGCCCTACATGCCACCTACTGGCCCCAACCCCAGAGTACCTTTCTTAAAATGTGGAACTCAACTTACCGAAGCTCCCCCATCAAAAAAAAAAGAAAAGAAAAAAATCTTTTAAAATGATGTCTTTTTTAAAATAATTTTTTGACTTTATTTATTATTTTTTTAATTTGACCAGAGAATGACAGAAAGAGAGGGAGAGAGAGGGAACCAGCAGTTAGCATAATGGCTATGTCACTGGACTCCCACGTAGTCGACCACGGTTTGCGTCCCGGACCCGGCGGCTTAAAACTCACGCCGGGCACGTGTGCGTGTGTGCCCAAGATCCCGAGAGGAGAATGGAGGAGAAGGGATTGCAGTGTGACCATCCCCCCTGGGGGGTGATTTCTCGCTTTCTGTCTCTATGTCTCTCTCTGTCTGTCTGGCGAGCGCACGTGCCCTATAGCGAAAACCTCTCCAAAAAAAAAGAAAGAGAGAGAGAGAAGAAGAAATGAGGAAGCAAACTGCCGGGTGGGGGACTTGAACTGCTATAAGCCATGTGGGAATCCAGTGCCCTTAACCACCATGCCACCTGCTGGCCCCACCCCCATTAAATTTAATGCTCAGACAAGGGCTAGTAGGTGGCAGGAAGGTTAAGGCATCTGGATCCCACAAGGCCAACTGAATGGTTCAAGTCCCAGGGGTAGCAGAAAAGCCTAAGGAAAGGAGAGGCTGGGCCCAGCAAACCCATGAACAGGAAGGTGTCAGCGGAGGTGCAGGGGCAGCCAGCAAGCTTCCCTTCACCATCTCACCAGAGGGCTGCTCACCATGGGGTCCCCGCCAGGGCAGTACCCAGAACCGCCTACCTTCTGGGCAGAGGGACAACCGAAGGAGCCGCTGGGTAGCTCCCAGCCCCACACAGAGTGAAAGTGTAAAACCCACAGAGGGTGACACCTGGGCAGCGCATTACAGGACAGTCTTCTATACTCAGAGGCTGGAGGCCCCATGAGGGCCAGCCCCAGCCCACAGGCCAAGGACGTGGGCTGCTGCTGCTTCTCCAGCTCAATGCCAACTGCAAGCTCCTGCACCAGAAGAGGGCCGAGAGTGGCTTTTCTATGTGACACCGATGTGGCCAAAGTCACTTTTGGGCTATGTGCCTTGTGACAAGTCACTTACCTCGATTTCGTCACCCATAAAATGGGGGTAGTAAGATGCATCAGAGAACTACAGGCATTCCTTGGAGATACTGTGGGTCAGTTCCAGACCACTACAGGAAAGCGATTACCCTAATAGTCACACAAACCTTCTGCTTTCCTGGTCCCATAGGAGTTATGTTACTGTTACGGACTGCAGCCAAAGTGTGGGACAGGTTTGTAATGGGTCACTGGGAAAGTCATGATGCACTTTTTCTTTTTTCTTTTTTTGGAGAGGTTTTTGCTATAGGGAATGTACACTCGTCAGAAAGACGGAGAAAGACAGAGAGACAGAAAGCGAGAAATCACGCCCCCAGCGGGGATGGCCACGCCGCAATCCCTTCTCCTCCATTCTCCTCTCAAGATCTTGGACATGCACACACACGTGCCCGGCATGAGTTTAAGCCACCAGGTCCAGGACTTGAACCGCAGTTGACTACGTGAGAGTCCAGCGACATAGCCATTACATTAACTGCTGGTCCCGTCATGATGCACTTTTGCATAGAAAAATATATCATGACCTTCCCGATGACCTGATAGCTCAAAAAAAATTTTTTTTTTTAAAGCACGACTTAATTTACAAGTATCTTATCACTAAAAACATGCTAATAATCAATGGAGCCTTTAGGGAGTCATTTTCCAGTGGAGGGGTGTCTTGCCATGCTGCTGGCAGTGGACTGATCAGAGTGGGGGGCTAAAGGCTGGGGGGGCTGTGGCAATTTCCTAAAAGGCAACAGTGAAGTCTGTCACATGCGTTGACTCCTCCTTTCGCGACAGATTTCTCTTTAGTATGGGATGTGTTCTGACAGTACTTTACCCACAGTAAGACTTCTTTTGAAACTGAAGTCACCCCAGCCATGGTGGCATAGGTGGGAAGGCACTGCTGTGCGGTGCTGGGGCCGCCGGGCAGACCTGAGTTCAAATCCTAAACTGGCTTGAACACACTGGGTATGCAAGTGTGTACCTGTGACCATGACTGACGGGGAGGCTGGGGCAGGATCACAGCATGGACAGATTCGGTCAAGGGTACCTGTCTTGTCTGTCTTTAAATAAATAAATAATTAAAAAAAACAAAGAAGTGACATAAGGACCAGCAGACATCATAACGGTTACATTGCTGGACTCCCACATAATAGACTATGGTTCAAGCACCAGACCTGGCAGCCTGAAACTCACACCGGGTATGTGTGCGTGCATGCCTAAAATCCCAAGATGAGAATGGAGGAGAAGGGATTGTGGTGTGGCCATTCCCCCCGGGGAGGAGGATTTCTTGTTTTCTATCTCTCTGTATTTCTCTGTCTCTCCAGTGAGCACATGCACCCTATAGCAGAAATCTCTCTTCAAAAAAAAAAAAAAGTGACTCAGTCCTCTCACACCCTGCTGCTTTATCAGCTAAGTTTATGTGGTCTTAAAAATCATTTATTTTCCTTTCAACCGTGTTGAAGTCTTTACCAGGAGCAGATTCCATCACAAAACCACTTCTAATCTCAGTTCTCTTCCTGTTTCCACCGCATCTGCAGTTCCTCCTCCGCTAAAGTCCTGAACTCCTCAAAGTCATCCAGAAGGGTTGAAATGAATTTCTTCCAAACTCCTCTGCTAATGTTGAAATTTTGACCTCTTCCAACAAATCATGAACGTATTTAATGGTAGCTAGAATGGTGAATTCTTTCCAGAATTTTTCAATTAACTTTGCCCCAGATCCAGAGAAATCACTATTTATGGTAGTTGGGCCTTAAAAATTGTATTTCTTGGGAATCTGAATCCTCTATGGCTGACCATGGGTCAAATCCAAGCAGCTTGAAAAACACACCAAGCACATGCATGTACCTGCCCCAAACCCTGATAGGATGGAGAAATGGAAAAAAAGAGTTGTAGTGTGACCACACCCCATGAGGGAGTACTCTCTTTCTCTGGAGAGCCAGGCCACATGGCTGACTGCCTGGTCTGAGTCCCAGATCTGGCAACTTGACAAACACACCGGGCACATGAGCATGCATGCCCAAAATCGAAAGAGGAGAATAGAGGAGAAGAGACTGCAGCGAGGCTGTCCTCTCTGGGGGAACATTCTCGCTTTCTCTCTCTGTCTCTCTCTCTGGCAAGCACACACACCCTAGGAGACTTTTTTAAAAATTCACTGGGACCAGCAGTTATCGTAATGGCTATGTCACTGGACTCCCACGTAGTCGATCGCGGTTCCAGTCCTGGACCCGGTGGCTTGAAACTCACACGGGGCGCAGATGTGTGTGTGCCCAAGATCCCGAGAGGAGATTGGAGAAGCGACTGTGGCGTGGCCATCCCCGCTGGGGGGTGATTTCTCACTTTCTGTCTCTCTGTCTCTCTCTGTCTGTCTGGCGAGCGCACACGCCCTATAGCGAAAACCTCTCCAAAAAAAAAGAAAAAAAAAAATCACTGACCACAGATCACCATAATAGATATAATAGTAATAAAAAAGTTTGAAATATTCCAAGAATTACAAAATGTGACACAGAGATACAAAACAAGCACACGCTGTTGGAAAATGGCACTGGCAGGTTTGCTCAGCGCAGGGCTGCCGCAGACCCCCGGTGTGCAGTGAGTGCAGTATGTGCTGTGCAGACAGAGAAGACGGGTGGGTGTGCTGTGGCAATGAAGGTAACACAGAGAAGTGCACACACAGCTTGGCACACAGGGAGCGCCTCTAAACGGCACCTGTTGTAACGCCCTTGCTCCTGGCCTGCCCTGGGGACTTCCTCCCTCT